TCCCTGGCGTTCACAGCCAGCCTAGGGCGCGCAGAACGGAGGGCCGGGGATAGGGCCCCGCCTCCTCCCGTAAGCTCTCGCTGCTCCTGCCCTTTCCTCCTGCCTCCTCTCCCCCCACGTCTTGTTCTGAGTCGGGGGCTCACTCCGTCGCCCGTGCAGTGGCACGATCACGGCTCACCCCAGCCTCGACCTCTTGGGCTCAAGCGATCCTCCCCGCCCAGCCTCCCGAGGAGCTGGGACTGCAGGTGTGCGCCACCACGCCCGGCTGGTTTTTTTTTTTTTTGTGGGGCGAAGCGGTCCCGCTGTGTTGCCCAGGCTGGTTTTGAACTCCTGGGTTCAAGCCATCCTCCCAGAACGCGGGGATGGCAGGCCAGAGCCACCGTGCCAGGCACGTCCCTCCCTTTTTTCTCCATCCTTTCTCTCCCCTTCTTCCCTTTTTTTTATCTCCCTTCTCATTTCTCCCATTTTCCTCTTATCTTCCCTCCTTTTTCTCTCCACCCCTCCTCCTCTGCTTCTTCCCTCCTCTCCCAGGTTTTTCATACGTTTGTATATTTAAAGGACATTTGAAAATCCTTGATCGTCTGTCTCCCAAGTGGGAACATAAGCCCCAATAAAAAGAGCAAACCTCCATTCGTGGCCTTATCCTGTGACAGGCGCAGTGCCTGTCACATGTCATCTCACAACTACCTGTGGGAGTACTGACGACCCGCCATTGAGCAAAGGGAGCAGAGGCACAGAGGGGTTGGGCAGCGTGGCCCGGGCACACGGCTCCTAAGCCTAAGTGGCAAAGCCACAACTGGAACCCAGGCTGTCCGGCTGGAGTCTGGGCTCTTCAGCACATGCGGCCTCCGGAGGACCGAGCACCCTCACTTCTGTGTCCACAGCAGGGAGCGCGGTGCCTGGCGGCAGGGCCCTGGACACCGAAGGAATCGGCTCTTTCTGGAAAACAATTGGAGGGGGAGTTCTTAAAAACTTACAAAAATAATTCTTAAAAAATTCTTAAAAACTTACAAAAATAATTTTGAGTAGCTTTTAGTAATACGGAAAAATGTTCTTGAAACTAGACATTATAGTTAAAAAGCAAAATAAAATGATGTTTATCATTCAGGTAACAAACAGTCTTGTACTTTGGCAGATTATATGTTCATTTTCTGTCTCCTCAGCCAGAATGAGTCTCTGGAGGGCAGGATCGATGCCAGTGTGTTCACCCCATATTCTCGGCTTAGCAGAGCCCTTGGCAAATAGCCTTCATTAGTGATAGTTTATTGGATGAATGCATGAATGAGGTCTCTAGGGACTGCTGCCCTGCATAACAAATCAGGGAAAGAAATAGTCATTGAACTATTTTGAAGGCCTTTTTAGTGATAGAAAGTATTTTTGTTAACCATAATGTGTAAACAAGAAAGTGTTTCTCAAACAGACCCCTCTGGCCAAGATTTTGTCAAATGTGACCATTCTGTAGTTTGTATCGTGAAAAAAAAATGTCCTGCCCTTTAGTTTTCCAAGTCTAAAATTAAGTCACAATAATGAAGATGCTTTTCAAACTGCCCCAAGCCCCGGGAGCGTCTGAGCTGTCCCCAGACTCCTCTTGAACTGGACTTACAGCTGCTCTGGGGACGTCGAGAGGTCTGGTCACAGGGCCTGACGCCTGCCTTCTGATGGAGGCTGGTTCCTCCTGGCCTGAGGCCTCGGTGGCCCTCGCCACTTGCCTCAGCTACTGTGAGCATCTGAGTGTGTGCATCTAGCCCTGGAGGACGCTTCCCATAGCTCGCAGGGTTCAGTTTGCTTCTTTTAAAAGTATATGCGTGTGCACATATCTATATCATTTAATGTATGTGCATAGGAAGTCTAGTGCTGGTGATAAATACAGGAAAATGTTCCTGGTAATTACCTCTCGGGTGAGATTGTGAAGGACTTCTCTGTGGCTTTTCTGTATTATCCAGTTTTCCTACAGTAAACATGTACACTACACACTTTGACCAGAAAAGCATCAATAAATATTCTTTTAAAAAATCCAGTTTTCAACTAATATTGAACATGTGGGGAAACGCCCATGTTGTAACATTAACAAAAGAGGAAGCACAATGAACACCTGGTTCGACTGTACTTCTGTGGGAAGTACATGCACAGGACACGAGGGAAGTCCAGAAGGGGACCCGTGAAATGGGGGGCTGCTGGGGCCGGCACTGGCTTCCTGACAGTTTCCTGGTTTCTCGACTGAACATGACTTGGGAACGAGCAAAAAAGCATGTGAAAGGGAGACTACAAAAGGCACTTTTCCCGAAAAGGCATTTGCGACACCAGGTGTTTCGGGAGTCTCTGTGTGCAAGGCACTTTTTCTGCCCCTGCTCGCCCTACCTGCAGCCGCCACCCAGCCAGAGCCTGAAGGCATCAGCCTCACTCCCCTGGGCCTCCCTGCCCCTGGCCTGCCCTTGGGGGCACATACTGCCTCTGCCCTGCCCCA